TTCGATTGCTGTACTGTTGCACATCGTTGAGAAGCCCATTTCATTCTCTTTCTTACACTGCTGTTGTATTTTGAAGGACTCGGGCCTCACTTTTTTCAAAGGTTTGAATCGAAGACGTCAAAGCAGTGGTTTGAGCAGGTTCACTTCTATGAGTTGAAATTTGGAGAGGGTGCTGTGCAGACAGCTCGGAATAGGATTGCTGTGTGGGGCTAAGGATGTTACAATAAATGCACACTGCACCAATGGCTCCGAAGTTTTCAATGTAGGGAACTCTAGATTCAAAGTGAGGGAGGGGAGGGGGGTTACGGAGAACCGGCAGCCTACTGGGGACCCGGTGGAAGGAACTTTCTAAACAACTGTACGACAGTCAGAGCATAAGCAAGCATACCAAAATTTTTGGAGTGCTGGAAGGTATATGGGAAGGTAAGCAAACGCAAGTGGGTACCGCATGAACTTACTAAGCAGCAGCAAAGTCACCTTTTAGGAATCTTGTCCCAAATCTTTCTACTGAATGAAATTATCCGACTTTGGAACATTCGTCATTTTCGACGAAAATGGAGCTCTCGTCATAGAAATCGAATTTTCCAAAAATCTGAGCAGTACGAACATCGAAAACTTTTTCCAAAGTAGAAATTCCACAAGGTGAGAACCACGCTGACGGTTTCATGGCCTTTCGGAGTAATGATGCATCGCAGCTTTCTGAGTCCCAGGTGAAATTTGGTAGAGCATCAATGTCTGTCCATAGCACGCGACGTGGGCTAGGAAAAGAGCAGACCCTACACAGCGTGGAAGGAGATGGACGGTTGTCCATATTGAGACATGTGTATTTGGGTTTGCTCAAAACGACCTCGTGAGGAAAAGACGAATGAAACCATCAGATGTGTTGGCACAGTGACGGAATATGACCTCGCCTCATCAACTCTCCAGGGGGGGTGTTCGGCGCATCGTCGACGTGGTGGGGTGTGGTGGCAAAAACAAAACACGGACATGGGGGTGGTGTCTGTTGGCCCCCCCGGCGGCCTCCATGGTGAGAAAAATGTTCGCCGATATCCGCGCTTCTACAGTTTCTATATTTTGAGTTGGATCAATTCAGCAGCTTCTTGAGAAAGATGCGTACGGTTGACTCTGCCAGCGGCTGTATAAACACGTACTTAGTACACTTTCGGTCATTCCGCAAGGTGCTGCTGTGGCAGCTGGGGCAATGAGGAGGAGGGAGGACAAGGTTAGAAGGAGGAAAGCAAAGCTTACGCAGGGGAGGGAGGTTCCGGTAATTACCGGGGGCCAGTCTGGTCACTTAAAAACGAACGAATGTGAGTCGGTTGGAACGATCCTCCACTGCAATGTCGTGCGCGCTATGGCGCTTCCCACCACGACTTGACCATGACTGACACCCCATAGCGATACTGGTGCTGTTCATTCTTATTTGAACCTCAGGTGTTCGGATACGCAACCCTTTCTTCTTCAGAAGTTGTGAAAGCGATTCCAAGGATAGTTAGTTAAAGCAGTGAGCTTTTAATAGAGGAACAGTGAGCTTGTGTTCTCATCCAAATCATCCTACTTTATTATTTGGCATGCGATAGGGAATGATCCGTTGTTCTATCATTTCAATAAAAGCGCGAGAAAAATTTTATTGGTTAGGGTTGTGCCATGTTTACTGCATTCGGATGTTCGCATACCCTAACATCTTACATGTGTAAGAGCGTTTGATACATATAAGCGGTGTGTGCTCTTGCTCACTGTTACTTCTGCGCACTGAAGTTAGAGTACGATAAAAGAGGGCGCATATGAACAATGTTCAAAAGGAAAAGCAAAAATTTCGAAAAAGAACATAGCACTACCGAAATTCTTTTTTTTTTTTTCTAATATAAACTCAACCGTTCTACTTTATAAGGGGGTGAATGCATGCTAATCTCGAATCAGAGTTAAGACCAACCCGATTGATATTGGGTTGTTCGGAAAGTAATGCGGGGATTTTGACCTGTTTTTAAAGAGGCATATTTCCACTCAAATTCAACATTTTCAGTCGTAACAAAAACTATTGGAAAGCACTAATCTTTCTTATAAGATGCATGCTCAAATGTCCTTCCCACATTAAAATCAGCGCTTCTGGAGGCGATGATATCGTCGAGCGTCATTTTCACATCAGTTTGAACATTGAAGCATTTCTTACTCAAGAAGTTGTCGAGATGGTTGGAAAAGGGGGTATTGGTGAGGGAGAGGTCCAGTGAGTAAGACGTGTGGATCGAAGCTTCGTACGCCAGTTTGTTCAATACTTGCGAGGTCGTTTATGGGACGTGTGGCTGAGCGCCACCATGAAGGAGGCTTTGTTTCACTTCTCTCGGTTGACGAACTTGTGTTCTAGAGCATCTCATCGGTATGCTGGAGAGACATTGGTGTTGTGTTAACTTCACCTGGTTTCCAAGAGCAGGGTTGTATCAGTCCCGCGGAAGACAGCTGAATGTTCGGCTCGGGTGGAAACGACTTTTGGGAAGACGGTTTTGCTGCTGCTTCAGTCAGCCCATGCGGTAGCCACCTGTTCAGCTTTTTCACCTCTCCAGTTATCTTCAGGAGCCACAATATTTTCAATATACCTACTTCTAGTCCTACTGCTTGCTATAGCAGTTAGTCTGGAATCATCTTCTACGGGAATCTTCAGAAGGCCGTCGTCAACAGCAAAGCATGCTCATGACTCCCCTCACCTTCACTATGGAATTCTTCTGAACCAAATTTTGGAGCCAAGGCTGTGCTGCGCTTTTGTTGGTGCTTCCTTGGCCCCATCCTTCAGTGTTATTTCGACAGGTCTATGGAGCACTACGTCAGAGTTTCAGCACATCGAAGAAAACTTGCCCAAACCACTGTCCTTGACACCTTCAGTTCAATCTAAAAAACCCTAAGATAACAAGTCAAACTGGAAGAAATATGCTGGAGGAAAGAAGTATGGCTGTGGAGTGGAGTAGGCTTACCTATGATGTACAGGGCTTTGGGTCTCAAAGGAAGTTTCAGTAAAAAAAATATTTCAAGTATGTATGGCGTCTCGAAACCCGCATTTTTTTTCTGAACAACCTGATATTTGCTAAAGGCATTTGTGTATTCTGACGAACGATATGCTTAGGACTACAGAATAGGAGGATTTATTGCCAAAAGAAAGATCAAAATATGCGATGCTACGTTCAAACAATGGATCTGGAGAGCATTGGTGACCATTAGCTGCCGGTTGTGCAGCAGTCATGCTTATTGAGTGGTAGTTGCTAGTCGCTCTTCACCCTCACCGCTGACCACCTGTTGTTCCCTTTTTTCATTTGGAGGAAGGAAGTTTTCATTTAGGTACGTGGCGTGGCTGCTGCAGCTGGTTGCCAATTGGTGGCATCGTGTGATATAGTCGTGGCTGCTGATAACTCCAAATTCATGGTTCCTGGGTTAGTTACTACTTCCTCTTTGTTGATATGCCATAGGAATACCACATTCTTGGACTTGTTACCATTCTCAGTCTATCCTTCAAAATGATGTTCGTTCTTCATTGTGTCCGTCCCCTCAAGGGTGCCTCTTACGGCACTGCCGCCTTCTCCAAAATGATTTAAAAGTACGTGTGAGTGTTGACAAACTATGGTAAGTGTACTTGAGAAGCTGAGTTGGAATGAAGTGGTGCCCCGGTAGCATAACTGGTAGCGCACTAGCCCAG